ATTATTTCTGATTTCATTTTTTCCAGATCCCCTTTTGTTGCCAGTTCAGTGGGTCCAGGTGGTTGAGTATCATAGTGTTTCATCTCATTTCCCTTTGGGGTTGCTGTAGGTGATCTGGACGTCTGGTTTTGAGACTTATTTATGTGTTTTCTCATTTCAACTGGTGGAGGGGGCTGTTGGCGCCTGCACTGATTAACTCCTCTGAGCTGGGAGAGCTGGGACAGTGGCCGGGACTAGCTGTAGGAATGGTGGCCCAAAAGCCCTTTCCTATGGGTTTTGAGCAGTGGGAGGGATGGTGGCCAGGAAGCCCCTACCTCTGGGCCAGGAGTGTCGGGACTCAGTACAGTGGTCTAGTGGTCCGGTGTCCTCTGTGTCTTTGTAGTGTGGAACGAGATGTCTGCGCAGAGGAGCGGGGGGTGGGGGGTGTCCAGTGGATTGTTGCCAGGGCGCAGGCTGATTTGGTGTGTTCTGTGCGACCCCCTGGCTTTTTCTTTCTAAGTGTTTAGGTCTTAAAGTATCTTCTCAAGGAGGTTATTTCTACCTATATTAGCCATCTTTCTCCTCACTTACTGTCATCTTATTTTTGGCAAAGATTATATTTTTATTAGTTTGTTGTCTGGTTCCCTAAAGGAATACAGCTACCATGAAATCAGGGTGTTTTTTCTTCACTCTAGACTTTCAAATATGCAGCATAGTGTCTGGCATACAGAAGATATTCATTGAATATCTCTTGTGTGACAAATGCTGGTTGATTGAGCAGAGTTCTGTGTTTACTGCCTTTTTGCTTTCTATTGTCCGTATGTAAAACATGTTACAGTTTAAAAGGCTACTGTGGAATAAAATTATCAAATGAGATCACGTTTGTCCTTTCTAAATGGAAAGGGACAGATGTATGTTTGTAGTGTTATGGAATGGTCCTGTGCCCCTAGGTCAACAGGAAAGGCTATGCTTTCTCAGGTGAGCTTACTTTGTATATTCTTTCTTTGCAGAGACCTATCCTGCTTGGTGTGAGAGGAGGAGTGGATCACTGCTTTAGTTCCTGAGACTATCATGGACCTCTTCCCTCTTCAAAATGAGAATTGTATGATACAAAACCCTTGACACACCAGTGTGATAGCAATAAAATCAAGATGCTGCCTGTGTGTGCCCAGGGACAGGAGGATAGCTGCCTCCACAAGTGAGTCACTAATAGGGTAGAAATTAGCAAATGGAGGTACAGGGTGGGCTGATAGCATCTGCTTAGTAGCAGGAATGAAGCATCATGTCAGGAGGGTTTATTTCTGCCTTCATCTTACTTCTTGTTGTAAGGAAAGGCAAGTGAGTTTTGAGGGAAGAGAGCTTGGAATACATCATACCTACATCTAAGTGAGCTTAGCCTGTTTCTCTATTTGAGGTCAGCCTAGGTTCCAAAGTCAGAGCAAAAGAATCTGGATACATAGGATGTGGAAGATACACTATGGCCTGTCCTGTAGTGGCAGAGCTACAGGACAGACTGTCGTAGGTCTAGCTTCCATCCCTGGCCCTGCTACAGATGAGCTAGTGGCTTCCAGCAGTTCACTTTATGTAGGTCTGTTTTTCACCTTTAAATGAGCAATGAAGGGACAGAAAACCTCTTAACAACTCTGGGTTTTAACAACTCTGACATTCTGAAATTCAGTTTGGGAAGGAGATCTGAACCATTTTTTTTCCTGACAATTTCAGGAAGTTGGGTTGCTTTTGATAGTTTTCTGCTGCTTTCTCAGCATCATGCTTGTGGGGTGAGAACAAGCAATTTTAAATGAGTGTGCCAAGAAGTCTTGGCTACTGTTCTAAAATAATAGCTAATCTACTTAACTCTCATGAATGCCAGAAGACACTAGACATAGCTTATGATGCCATTCCCTAAAGTTTCTTGTGACTATGAAAGATCACATCTCATTGATATATTGTTTATATCTTCAGAATAATTTCCTGGAGACCTTGACTTGATATTAGTGAATGACTGATGCCAAGAGCAAATGAACCAAATCTTGGTGGTGCTTGGCTTGACATAGTCCCCTGGGCCTTATGTTCAGGGTTCCAGTCACACTGTGGTATATCTGAAGAACATGTGTCACTGTAGCCCTTGTTTTCTGCCTCATCTTTTTATGATTGAGATCTGGAAAGTCCCCTAAAAGGCTTGATTGCTAGCTGATGGGCTTTTAGGAATTGATTGGATCATAGGGCTGTAATTTAATCAGTGGATTAATCCATTGATTCATAATTTGATATTATTGGAAAATGATGGACTCTTAGGAGGTGAAGCTTAATTGAATGATGTAGGTCACTGGGGGCTTTGATTTGAAGATTGTATTTTATCCCTGATCCCTTGCACTCTGGCTTTCTCATTTTTTCTACTTCCTGGTGGTCATGAGGTGAGCAACTATGCTGTGCTATGCTCTCTCTGCCATGATGTTCTGCTTCACACAGGCCTAGAGACAATGGAGCCAGGCAACCATGGATTGAAACCTCTGTGAGAATAAATCTTTCTTCCTTTAAGTTGTTATTCTCAGGTATTTTGTCATAGCTAACACACAGTTCTCGTCTATGAGGACACATGGTGTCACAGACGAAACAACACTGCAGATATCCTTCAGAATTCTACAGGAAGACATTTCAGACTATCTGTGGAAGACATATATGTAGATCATAGTGAAAATGTAACTAATTAAACTTGGCCAATGCTTCATCATGCTGAATAGAGTACAAATAGTACACTGGAGTGCTGGAGAGACTCTAGCACTGATGGTTCCACTGAAAGTTTAGGACATTATCCCAAACTAGAAAAGATGATTAGAGGTATTGTGAACATTCAGTTGTTGGTTTAAAGCTGAGGCAGTCTGGTCTAGAATAAAATAAATATGAATATAAATTTGAATTCTGGCACTTAGGACCAGTTGCTCGACAATAGAGAACTTATTTTTTAATTAAAACTTTAGCCTGTAATAAAATATGCTATTAATATTGTTTCTATAACTTTGTTAAAGTTAAATAAAATGATATGTTTTTTAAAAATAAAATGGAATACTAAGCCATAAAGAATGAGAAACTAGAGACACTTATAGCTAAATGGATGCACATTGAGGCCATACTCTTTTGGGTTATTTTTGGTACTGGAGATCTAACTCGGGTACTTGTGCTTGTACAGCAGGCAGTGAAACCACTGAGCTAAATCCCTGGCCCCTTTGAGGCCATCTTCTTAAGTGAAATAAATAGGACACACATGTGTAAATATTGAATAGTTTCTCTGGTATGAGAAACTGAAAGTGTAAATAAGGACAAAAATGTAGAACAGATAATGTGAAATAAGAAGATAAGGCCCAAAGGTGAAGGGGAAGTGGGAGAGATAGGGGAAGGGAAAGGAATAAATATGAGAAAAGGGAAAAATGGAAACAAAGTAAATAGGGGATGGAAGATAGGGTTGGGGAAAAAATAAGAACCAAGATATATCATGTAAAGGTACAAATCCCCAGTGATAAATGTCATCATATTATATACCTAAAATGTACCAATAAACTTAATGAATAAAATAGATTAAATAGCTGGGGATTTGGCTCAGTGGTGCCACCACCTGCCTCCCAAGCGCAATGTCCTAAGTTTGATCCCTGGTACAAAAAAAAAAAAAAAAAGATTAAATAAAATGGTATATACAACATCTCCTGGATCCTCTGGCATGGATAGACTCTGATAACATGTGGTATAGGGAAAAGCCTATTTTGCCTATGGCATCCTGGAAAAGACTTGTGGTTTCTGGCCATTATAGTATCAAATATGTAGTTAATGTTCTGCAGTGTTTGGTTGTGGTTTCTTTCTCATCACCAGAGTCAGTTGGGCATCTGGATTAATAGTTCTCAATGACTTTAAATGATAAGAATGCGCTAGAATAACATTCATGAGTTTAGGAGGGATAATTTCTTTGTATGTCATAATAAATATGCTACTTTTGAAAAAGATTCTAGTCTGGCCTAATCTTGATCTATAAGTGGATTTTAAATTGGTTTAATCCAAGACATGATTTACATGTCCTACTTACACTTTATCCTAAGTCAGATTCCCAGTGGATCCCACGGATTCAAGGAAAGTATTCAGGCTTTTCATAAGAGTCTAAGAAGGACTTGAATGAATAGAGGTATTAAGCCACCTAATTTCCTTAGGTTGCAACTCATTTTTTCATTTGGGTTTTGAAGGACTACAAGAAACTAAGAAGAAAAAAAGAAGAAGAATTCTTAAGGTCAGTTCATACCTGTTGGAAAATGAGGAACCTTTTATGGCTGCCTCAAATGTTGTCTCTGTTACTTTTTCCCAACTTGCCTCTTTTCCTTTTCCCAAGGAGCCAGGACCCATAGAACTCTCAAGTAGAGAATAAGCAGACCCTTAATAATATAAATAACCCTCATGCTACGTAAGAGTGAAGCCTGTCATATTCTAGCTCTCCTGTTTTATTTAATGTTATAAAAACACCCATTTGGTCTGCTTCCTTTGAATAAATCTACATCAGGGCTCTAGATTAGTAAATGTCTCAGTCACTTTCTCATTGCCAGAAGAAAATATCTGATACCCCTAACTTAAAGGGGTAGGGATTTATTTTGGTTCAGAGTTTTTAGAGAATTCTGGCAGTAATTGGCTGGCTCCAATGCAGGAGGGCATAGTAGAAGGATCTAGTGGACAAAAGCTGCTTACATCATGGAAGCCAGGAAGCAGGGAGAATGAAGAGAGGTGCTGGGAAGAAAGAGATAACCTTTCAGGTCAGGGCCCCAGTGATTCAGCTCTTCCAACACACCTCACCTTCTAACAACACATTTAACTGTGAACACAATAATGGATTAATCCATAAGTATGATCCCCATAAGTATGATCCCCTACCTGCCCCCATGATTCATTAACTTCTAAAAGCTTAACCTCTGAATTTATGAATCTTTTGGAAGACATTCTAGATCTAAACTCTAATAGTATGTATAAGTGAAGAGCCATTGCAGTTACCAGCAAGTGTTCATGCTAATGAAGTATGAAAAAGAAAAAGGAGAAGCAGTTGTGTACTTCCATCACACTAAATGGCTTTGGGCACAGAGTTAATCTCACTCCAGAGAGAAAGTCTGTTCACACTTACCACAATTAACACCCCACCTAATTTTCTATGTGAAAATGTTTCAAAGGAACATTGAGAAGAAAGACTCTTAGTTACAACTCAGAACCAATTCCTTTAGTTTCTCTGATAGGTTTTTACCTCTGGAGTCAGGGAATTCTTTGTCTTATTAGAAATCTTATCTGTCTTTTGAACCCAGAAGGTCAAATAAATTAAGAAAAACTTTGTTTTTCCATTTTTCCTCAGACAGTTGATTCATAATTAACTATGTTGTATTTGCAATATACATTAAAATGTAAAATAGTATAGGTGTAAATACAGTCTATCAAGAGATCTTGGAAATACAGAATCTCTTTTAAGTTCGAAGCAAAAGCTGCGTGTTGCAAAACCCTACCACATTAAGGTATGACTAAAGAAACTCTGATTCTGGGTTTTATAAGCATGCTATTTTCTTAATGTAACAATATTTATAATAAAGATAGTAAATTACTACTGTCTTATTACATTACAGCAATAGTTCCTGAGAAGATGATGAAAATATAGAAGTCAGGAACAGGAATTAGAATGTACAGGTAGGCTTTTATTAGGAGAGATTTCCATATCCATAAAGGTATCATTAAACCAAGAATCCAAAATGAAGGAAATATTAATACAATTAGTTATAAATGAAGATATTTCAGCATATAAACCAAAGTCTTCAAAGATTTATAGTACTGGGACCTAGTAACATTATTTTCCAATTAATGAGAAAACTATAATTTAAAATATAAATGATAATATATTTTTATATAGCAAAGAGATATGTCTAATGTTTTCATGAATTCCATTTGATACTATAAAATATACTTTACAGGGCAAAAAAAATTAAAAAAAATAACCTTAGGAAAACAGATATGATGTAAAGATTGATAATGTATATTAGTAATTTAAATATATGGTCACAAGCAAGAAAATGTGACCTTATCATTTGAATAAAAGTTTATTAAAATACAGAAGAGATATTCTGAAACAAATGAAAAATCAAGAACTTAATACAGTGACAAGTACCTTTATAAAATAAGATGCAAAATGAAGTAATAATTATAAATGAAGACATTTCTCTACATGTAAACCAGAGTCTTCAAAGATTTTTCATATTAGGACCTAATAAAATTATTTTCCAATTGATAGATATTTTCAACATATGACAGTACTGAAATACCAAGGGGCAAATGAACTGAAATAAGGGTGACAAATGATAGGCGTGGCTTTAAAAAATGTGAAGAACTTACCACCTTCTTCAAAGAAAAAAGAATAATTCTCTTGGGAGAATTTAAGCACCATTGGAAGACACATCTTATAATACCAGTTAATGAAATACTTGATATTTTCAGTACCAAACTACTTCAATGGTGAAAATGATGTAGGAATCAGAAGTATATTCTGCTGAGATTCCAGGTAGTTGACACTTTCCCGAACTGGAAAAACATTTCATAAGGTATATAAAGTAATTGACTGAATCAAATTTTGTTCTAAAAATAATCTATGATTAGTGAAACAGCTTACCAGCTGCCACAACTCTGGGATCCTCATGAGATTCATGTCTGCCAGCTGCACGACTGTCAGCACTCTCATGCCACCAAAGAACATGAACTGTAGAAATAAACTAAAAATTATTTCTACAGAATATGGCATTAACAAATAAGAAGTACAGAAAAATGAGTACAAAATGTCATATTTTAAAAATTAAGATGGTCCAAAAAGGTATAGCTAAATATTTCAGTGATAAGATTTCAGAAGAGTAAGAGACTTGGGAAAGAAATTTATAAATTATTCAAACTGGTTTTACAGATGAAGAAACACATAAAGCCAGAGAAGGGAAGTAAAGTAAGACAGCTAAAGGCACACTTGAGACAAGACCAAGTTTCATGTTTCCTGTATTTTATTTTAAAAAAGTGACATTATAAAAAATTGTGTTTACTATAGAAAAATTATATGAAACAAAGAAGTAAAAAGTAGCACAATGTTAACTGCCCAGAGAAAATCTTTCAATATTTAAAAATACAAGTAAAACAAAATTAGGGTCTTATGGTATATTATGCTTAGCAACAGATTCTTCAAAATTAACATTATCTTCTATTACAATAATGTTCATTTTTATGACAATATGAATTCCTCCTTACAGATGTAGTAACATTTATGTTAACCCTTATCACTGACTATTTAGATTACTTCCAATATGTCAGTATTCTATAAAATACTGGAATAGATATTTTCTTTGTAAAAGTATAATTACTTATACTTTTTTAATAATTGCAATGTAATGCAAGTTAGATGTACAAAAAAATGCACATGAAAACAAAGAGAAATCAGTAATTATTTTTATAAAATTCAGAAATAATCACTTTTATATTTGATATAGTATGTAACTTTAT